TGCGGGAAAAAGCACATAGTGTAGAAAAACTCAAATCTAAATTAAAAATATAATTTTGGTACCTCCGACTTTTTGTATTATTGAACCCTACAAAAATGTTACCTATTATTATACCGTTTACGCCGTTATGAACATATATTATAATAACATAAACCACACATACCCTTTTCATAATACCTACTCATAATGGGAACCTATGTTAATATTTACAAATAGCGTAGTATTATAATACACCCGTGGATCGGTGAATTTGTCTTGTATATATTACATAATATTATGCATGTTTAATATCGTATAGGTGTATATAGGTAAAGGCAAGTAGACAAGTAGTGCAACTGGGCTAATAGGATAATTGCATATGATTATTATCCACTGAATTGATGTTATACATTTTGCCCTCGAGACACTGTTAAAACGCAACGTAGGTATACCTATAAATGTGTATATAATATTCAAACCTGTAAAATTAACCAATTAAATGTATTCTAGTTACGTAAAATAATAATATATACGGCGGCGGCCGAATGCATAATATTATAATATCATTGAAACATTCGTAGTGGAGTGGTCCGGAGTGGTCGATCGGTGGTTATTATTATAATAATAAAACGTAGTACGACGTTGAAGAAAATAAAATAAACTATAATTATTTCCGTAAAATAAAGCTTACGACGACGACGTCGCGGTCGTCTCGTACTGTATAATATTAATAATATAATGAAGGTACCGTTACTTAAACGCACGAATTCTGTATTTGTGCAGAGGTTTTGTGCCAAATGTCCATAATACGACCAGCTGTAGGATTGTATGTATAAAAATAATTATCATGTTCGTCACACTAGTTTTATTATTATTCTGCAAGCCCGTTGGTCAAGGTCGGGGAGGACATCGTACCAACACCGTTTTCCTCATTTTTCACCACATTTCCTCATCCCTCTTTGGATCAATTGCACCAAATAATTGTACTTATAGATGATTGCTTGTATAATATACCTACTACAAACACAAAAAGGTTTTTCGTGCATATTTTCTTTCTTTCAATATATTGTTATAATAAAGTACGTACTGCACCGGAGGTACATTTTCTCGATGTCGTACAGGCATCCTTTTTAAAATAAAGAAAATCATACCTCCCGTTTTTTCTTACTTTTTAAATCCTTTACCCAAACGATCGTCAATTCGCCGCCCGTCATCGCTCCTGTCTCTCAGCTATTTCTATAATACAAGCCGCGCGTAGTCGTTCTCCGCGGCGAAATAACAGCTATACTCTCTTATTCAACGTTTTTATGGCGGATCAACCCACTTTTCCTTATATGTTTGTCACTGAATGTGACGACGATAAACCAATTTTCTCAGTTCACGGAAATCCAATCACCGCTCCATCGCATCTAATCATCTTCTCACCTTCCTTGTATTGAATAACCTGGTGTCAGAACTGGATATTGATAATTAAAGAAAAAAAATCCACTCACATCACTTTGCTCTCAAACACGACATTTTTCTTCGAGTTATATTTAACAAAATCCTAATTCAAACTTCACGAAACACAAAATTCCTAGGCGTCTACAGAAATAGAACATTATTGAACTGTATCCGCCATACCCAAAACATCAAACAACTTACACAACATTTTCGTCTTTGTATTCTTAAATATTTTCCTACATTTTCAGCCCCTGACTAAAGTAAGCCTATTGGCTCTTACGTAACCTTACAAACCGTTTTGGAAGAACGGTGCCCAAGTTTGCGGCTTCGCTAACAAATTAAACCATAACAATAAATAACAAATAACTCAAAACTAAATTGTTCCTTTAATAACAACGGCCCTTATGTATATTTCAAATCTTAAAATGAATAATATATAGTATATATACTAGAAACTGCTATTAAATTCTTTACTTACAACTTATATTCTCCAATTTCCTAAACACCCAATCAAAAATGTTGACTAAATCAATTGTATCGTAATGGTCGGGTTAAGTTAACCATTACTTCCAAACCATAAGTTTCGTTAATGGGTAGAATATCATTAATTTAAAATTACTCCTAAACCCATTTTAAGTTTATAATAGATAAATTGTACTCACAAACCCAAAATAAAAAATAATAATATGTATAATGCCAAGTAATGAGAATCGACTATCGAGATAATAATAATGCGTATTATTATTATATATTATACAAACTAAAGTTCTCTAATTCTGCCAATTCAAACACTTTACTTTGCTTGTCAACTTGAAATACACTGGCAGATCAATTTTCAAATAATAATATAGGATCCAAGCCCCCCCCCCCCCCGTATAGTTTTTTTGATATCAATTGCACAGTATAAAAATGAAATTGTAACTCGACGATGTGGTTCGTATTACGGGCACAACAACAACACCAACTCATCTAACAATAAAAATATAATAATAATAATAATGATAACAAGCAACTATTGGTACTCATACGAGTCTTACGTATAATATACGATGTATATATGATACGCTGTACGGGCTTACTGCCGAAACAAGTATAAAATATATATTGCATTGTGCACAATTTAGAAAACTCAGAAATACGATCTGTTTTAAATCCCATCACGTAATAAACGTACCTATAATATATTAAAATATATTGTGTTCGTTTTTCGTATATTTTGCAGGTCACTGCGACGTTATATTTCGGTCGCTTAAACCGATATAAATAAATAATGAAATACCTACCTATTTCGATAAATCAAAATTGTCCAAATTAACGATCATCCACTTAACTCATAGTGAAACAAGGTAGATATTCTCATCTCAATAAAGATGTTGTTACCGATAAGACGACACTCCTTGAATGGTATAAAATATAATATTATGATGGATGATAATTGAAAATGTGGCTTTTAAGTATGGAAAATTAAAAATTCCAAAACTCGGAATTGGAAGAAATTCATCATTAAAGGGAAAAAACGGTAGTGTGCGTGCTTATCGAATCACTGTCCTATACAAGGCATAGGTATAGGTAATAATTATACACTACAATATAATATGATGTACATAGGAAACACGAGAACGTCATCGCGTCGGGTGTGTCCGGTACATTGTGACGTACGTCGAGTGCAATCACCCTGTAATCGAACAACAATTATTTATCGGATGCACGCAAGCGTTATTGTGCTTACGGTGACGGAAAAAAATTTCGAAATAATGACAATTAGACGGTCCGAGCATGAAAACCAAAGAGGTTTTTATTAAATCGAGGTGGCGATCGTAATATTATTATAATCGACAGTCGATTTCACGGACCAATGTATACACTGTAGTATTATTATTATTTATTATACCTAGTTAGTAGTTATTTATTGTTATTATTATTATTATTATTATTATTATTACTATACAGACGAGTGTGCGACGGTGATACGAATATATGGGTATAAATCACACTGCCGAGTACACTATGTGTCCCGACGGGATAACGTGATATATTTAAATTTTTTTAAATATACGTTTGTGGCGGCGGAGGCACCGTCGACGTGTTTAATGGTTCATTATAATAATAATATGCTGTAATGCAGCAGTTTTATAACATTAATAATAATAATTTTAGATTGATATCTAAACTCGACGAACCTACGCTTAAACGTTTTAGTTGTGAGCCTATAGGTACTTTAGAGAAAAAAAAATTGCCATTGATAGTAAAATACAGATATTATGTTCTGCACTGTACCGCATTTGGACACACGTTTTGTATAAAATACATTATAATAACATTATGGTATAGGTATTTTATGCACTTTTAATTAATTACACCGATCAATAAGGCATATTATACATATTATTTTATAGCTTTAATATTTGTCTTTATTATTATCGTGTATAAAGTGTAAACAGTATCAGATAAAGTATAATAATTATATACTATTATATTGTTATGTACGTCTATTTGCTCGAGGGGGGTCAAAAGTCCTGTGTATTTAATTCCCACGGAGGAGAATGATTAATGTTCAAGTTCCAAACTATACTGGTACCTATATAATATATTAATATATTATAGGTATTTTGTCAGGATAACGTGATGATATTATATTATATTAATACTAATGTATATAAACACATAACATGCGGTATAAGTCAGAGGTGTTCAAACTTTTTCATTTCACGGCTCCTTCGTCAACATGGAAATCAAATGTAAAATGTTTTATCGTCAAATATTATTCATAGAAAATTGAAATTAAATGCCTTGCGTTTAGAATAAAATAACATGTTAATCGTTATTTTTTTTCCTGTTCTGTGCCACGCGGCTACTCGAACAATTAATATACTCGTGAAGCACAGTTTGAATACGTTTGGTATATGAGCAGTTACAGAGATATGAAAAAAAAATCGCGTTTTTAATCACTCCGATTTAATATCAAACCGATATAGGTGTAATATCGGTGGTTTAAACGCAATAAGTAATATAAATTATGTTTCACCATCATGGTTATTAGGCATCTTTAAGTTACCGACGTGGACGCGGCAGCTGGTTAAACGGTAAACGCCTAGAGCTCTAATTTTTGTATTCAATTAATTTAAGTAGGTACCTGGTACACATATTATTATGTGTTTCGGACGATTTACTATATCCATAATATTATATTGAAATTCCGCCGTTATTGTACCATCTCGGTAAAATAGTAAAATGTGTTCTCGAAGAAATTATATTGCATATTATTATATAATAGTATTGTTCATAGATTCTTTCTGCAGGGTACTTAAAAAGTTTACAGCCAACAATTTTTTTGGTTTGTTCGAGACTAACCAAAATTTAATGAAATCGCGCCTATATAAGCATTGATACCGGAAATATTACAACTCGTCAGTCATCGTGTAATTTTACGGGCAATAAACCCCCTTAAATCCCCCTCAAAAATTCTCCGTGGACACAACTGTCATAACGTCAGTTTTCAGTTTACTAATATTTTTATGATATGTTTATAGTCCTATTTGTTCCATATTGATCGGGGTTTTTTTTTTTTGTTTCTACAGGTTCAAAAACGCTCGTGGGAGATGTTGGCGAGCCGGACGTGATGGCTGAAAACGGCAACTTCGGAGGTGGCAAAACGCATTTCTGTCAGCTCAACAGCCTGTGGTCCGTGTGGTACGGTCTGCTCGCCACTGTGCTTAACGTCTATTCCGTTTTGTTGGCCACTCGGAGACTGTCGGGTAAGACTTTGCAGAACATAATATACTTACCCATTATTCCAGTACAGCTACGTGACGTCAATGTCCGAAATTCTGACAATGTCGGTGTATAATGGCTGTTTAATATATAGGTGCGATGTCACTCCGCAGTTTGACACAGCAGTTTTTGTCGGTACTATAATATCGGTTTATATTTCCGTAATTGATCGATGAGTTTCATCAATGCCATCTGTAAAATCTATGAATTAATCCAATAACCTTAGTAGGTAGTTGTGGCTCTAATAAAAAAAAAACTATGATCTATGAATCTATAGTTAGGTATTTACTAAACTAATTAGATTAACCTCTCATGCAACACAATATCACCTTTTGGTCTTGTTACTAATTTTTGGAGGCATGTAAAAATTATATAAACACGGATTTTTTTTTTTTAGCAAACGGATTACAAAAGTATTTCAGGCTTGGTTTTGCAAATAATTAACATGCTATAATTATACATGCTAAATATTTGCAAAAAATATTTTGGTAAATTGCGATGTGGTTTCTGGGGTATTATTTTATATATATTTTCTCGTGTATTATAATATTATAATACATGTAAATGAAATACTACCCACATTGACTCCTATATATTTCGGTCGCGTTATAAATTATACTAGATATGTAGGAAATATGTTAACATTGCCTAACCGAATAATTAGCTATTGTCAATACTCAATAATGAATTTTGATTAGTCATTACTGAGAATGACTGACTGCCAATATTGACTATAACTTATAATTTTATAAACTCTATACATATTATTCATATTTAAAATAATATTCGGGTTAATTCGCACTAATTATTATAATGATTAAATATAGACTATGTATATTATGTATATAGATTACATTTTTCACAATGTTTCACATGTTTTTAAAAATGCATTTGGTGTATACTGTATATTCTATATTATACAAAAATTAGATACATAATTTATCTACAATATAATAATATAATAAGAGGGACGGAGTGGCCGAGCGGACTAAAGCGTCGGCTTCAACGCAGCCGACCCGAGTTTGATTCCTTGGCCACGGATGGCATTTTTCTTCGGACAAGTCACGGTGTCCGGAGACAAGTGCCGTCATCCTCCACACGGGCATGGCAGATACCTAAGGGTGCCCAATCAAAAGTTCTGCCAAACACAACACACACGTGTAACACGTTGTAACAACCCTACCGTTACAAACCCTATTACCTACAATCATAAAACCCCACAATCAGCTAATGGCCATAGTCGCCTGGCTTTTTAAAAATCATTAAAAAAAAAAAAAAAAAAATAAATAATATAATAAGTAATACACAACGATATAATATAGTGTACCTACCGGTGTGCAAGACGTGTGTTTAATATTATCAATTGACATGTTTTGTATATTATGCAACCTTGGAGGTATATTTATTTATTCCTGAAATCATATACTTCATGTGAGAAAAAATTAACTTTATAATTTAAATATTATCAGGTCTCCCGATAGTAGACGTTGGGTCCGGGGGCCACGTGTAACATTAAGACGAATAGTCCTGGGTCGACTGCAGCGTGTCTGCATACAGATTAAAAGGGGCCTACGGGAAAACGTGATTTGTTAGTGTATTTCAAACGGTCGTGTTTTCCATTGAGATTTTGTAGCCATGGGAAAACTACACGACTATTTGTTTCGATTATCAGAGCAGCGTTGAATGCCAACGAATAACTTACTATAAACGTTAAAATACGAAGTAGTATTTGGGAGCGTATATCTCGTATGTGTATTGTGTATTTTTTTCGTCTTGTTATGCGGACGGCAGTAAGTCATATTGCGATTGATGATGATGCATCCATACAAGCGGTGTGTTATATACAGTATATAATAATATATATAGGCGCCTGAGTGTGTGTGTGTGTGTGTGTGTGTGTGTGTGTGCATAGTATTATATATAGGTATAATAATCTGCAATGTATATAATATGATCCGAGTGAAAAATGCAACAAGACGCATTACGATACACATACGATATACAATATATTATACTATTATTTACGCGTGGGGAGGAAAAGAGTGGAGAGAAACTGGGACTGTATATTTTATGAAGGCGAATAAGGTGAAATGTATAAAAGTAACGAATATAGAATAGAGACTATAAATGTAAGGCGTATTTTTGAATTTTCACCCACAACACTCATTATATCGGTCCATTTTGTATGTTATATTATAATATTTTCATATTGCTCTGGTATACATTTCGGTAAATGTAAAACTATTTAATTTGAGACTTTTTAGTTTAATATTCGACGGACATTATCGAGTTTTTCACTTTTACATATATTATTTATAAATACATAATTGTAATATAATAAATGTATAACCTGCAATAAAACTAAAAACCTGTCATTTAAGAACTACAAAAATTAGTTATCAAAATTGTGTAGTAATAACTATAATATTATATTCTAAAAAAAAAATAATCATCATTCTCTATAGCCGGTGATGAATATCTGCGAGCTGGTTCCTTGGTGTGAGACTTAGGGGACGATGTGTGTAATAGCAAGGGGATGAAATCGAAAAAAAAATAATAATAACTAAAGATAAATCCTCGAAAAAAGGTAATGTACCGAGAACTGATGACTCTGCACTGCGAATGTGCAGTGGAGACTGAAAATAAAATAATATATTATTATACTCATCCGGGGGGGTTATTTCGAGCTTCTCAAATCGTAAGTGCCCGTCTGAAAAAGATTAAGTACGTAGTCCAACGGTCGTCGAACGGGGCTGGTAAATGGGCTGTGCCCGACCACTACAAATCGGGGCGCGGTGTCAACGGCGGACACTACTCGTATACAGAGTGCAACAGGAAGACCTGAAAAATGAAATAATTTTTGTTCCAATTTATATTTTAAAATTTTTTTTTTGCTATTTAATTTATTGACTCATTTAATACACGTCGTATAATATAATTTTTTATTTTTATTTATTAACACTGACGAAAAAATATTTAAAATCTGATTACGATTTTTCTTGAAACTTTCGAAATAGCCAATTTGTAAATTTAGTTTTTAGAAAATTATCCATGCCAAGTAGTTTATTTCTTATGATTTTAAAATATTTCTGATTTCTAAAGACTCGTTAAATTGACAAGTAATAATTTCTTGAAAAAATATTTCGGTTTTTACCCATTTAAAAATCTTCATAAAATGAGTTTATACTTTTTGAATTTAAAATGTTTTTTACGACCGCAGTATATATTCACTTTATTTGTAGCGCTGGCGTATGTAAATCATGTGAAAAAAAAATTGTAAAAAATGTCGATTAGAACGTGCGATTTATTTCATTTGTCAGGTCTTCACGCGTTACACTCTGTATAACGATAATCTGTAACGATGACATCTGTGCGACCGAGATCGACTGTTCCGGCCTAATCGTGTACTCGTGTTGGGCGGCGGTAATGAACACTCGAATCGATCGTGTAAAATCCTGTTGGAGACGTGTCGTCGGCATTAGTACATAAGACGTATATGATATAATGTGTGGTCCGGATTTATTTCAAGGGACGAGGTTTGTACAACCGAGAGACGAGAATTAATACGACTTCAACACGTATTGGGTACATGTGGTATATCATTAAAATATTGGTATAATATATTCTGTTCTTCGTGTAATTATTATTATTAGAGGACATGACGTGTCAAGTATTGTAGTGATAAAACTGCAGCTCTGTGAATCGATTCTGTCGTTTACACGCGAGTTGAGTGTAATTATTTATTATTATTGTTCTGGAAACCACTCACCACACACTTCAAGTACTGCGATTACACGTGATGGAATTTTTACAATAATTTTATATCGGTGTTTACTGTTTGTAGTTTGTGCATACAAGAGTAATTTCTTTAAAATTTAGATTTTCTTTAAAACTATTAATATTATTACAAAAAACTTAAACGTTTTTAAGAATTAATATACAGGATGATTGATTATGCATGCTCATTACCATTTTTTTCTATAATAGAACATTTACTCTGATTTTTGGAAAGCCTAAAGAACCATATTTTGAACTTCTGATATTTTTTGTAATACTTAAGGAGTGTCTGTTGTGATACAAAGTACAAACTTCTATTTTTTTTTCCAATTTTTTACTGCAAATTATTTAGCTGACGATTTTCTTGAAAATATTGACGTAAATTAATAATCAACATTTCTGAGTTATTAAAAATGCTTATACAAGGGATAATAGTCTTTAGAAATGGTTTTAGAAAAATACAAACTGTATGTAATATTTATTATACTTGGATCATTTTTTAAATTATTAATAATTTCTAACATTTTCAAATAATTTAAACCCCCATATCTAATTAAGCCATTGCCAAGCCATAGGTAAGTAGGAAACTCAGAAACCACTTGTTCGAATTTTGATTAAGATACATGAAAATTCTCAAAAAATGATCAGCTTAATAATTAAAAATTAAAAAGGGGGGTTCCCATTTGAGAAAAAAAAGTTCTTACTATCATAATGTCACAGAATTATTCTTAAGAGGACCCCGCACCTGCTATGTTGTCTCCGTCTTACACACGTACGACATTGCAAATTTCCTAGTTTCAATAGAGGGCTGTTCGTTTTGTGAATTTACCTATTATCAAACTCTTAGGTAACAACATTATCAGTGTTCTCTTGATGATTTTTTACGATATTTTAACTTTTAAGTTAGTTATGAGTACATAAAATGTTAATATTTGTAAAATGCTCATAACTAACTTAAAAAATAAAATATCGTAAAAAACCAACGAGAGGACATAGATAAAAGTTTGATAATATGTAAATTCAATCTAATATCCAAACTGACAGCACTCTAATACCCTATTGAAACTAACGAACGAACATTTGCTATGGCGTCGTGTCTAAGACGGAGACAACACATGAGGGTGCGACGTCCTCTTAAGTGGTACAAAGGATCTCAAGTATTCAAAATGTATGGTCTTCAAATGTATTTAAATATTCCAAAAATCAG